AGTTGAGGCAGGGAAGTTACCCAAACAAAGCCATCACGGCCTCTCTGGACAGCACCTGCACTCTGCCACATGGATATCACCATCTAAAGATTTGCTCACTACTTTATGAGGCCGGAGGCTTGATGTATTGACTGAACAAGCAAGCCTAGTGGCAAGCAAGAACAGTGAAGTAAGGAAGGCATAGAAAACTGAGAAAAGGTGCAGGGTAGGGGGTTATGGGAACTGGAAGGGGCACAGTGCAGTTTACTACTGCTGGTGCCCCACCACTGAAACGGTTCCCCTCTCATCCTAGGGACAGCGTGCACACGCATACGCGCGCGCGCACACACACACGCGCACACGCACACACACACACACGCACACACACACACACACACACAGAGAGAGAGAGAGAGAGAGAGAGAGAGAGAGAGAGAGAGAGAGAGAGAGAGCTTGGGGACTGGGGAAACTGTCCATCCATATTTCCGTTCCTCTCTGCCAGGAGGCTTCCAGGGAGTCAGATTTGCAGCTTGTTTTCTCAGGAACCCTTCCTCCCCGTATTATCAAAAATAATCTTGGAACCACAGAACTGAAAGGGACCCTATGGATCATTGAGTCTAGCCCATCAAGGAGGCACCATGGGAGAATCAAACTCGCAAATACAGTACCTAAATCACAGAGCTTTTCAGCAGTTCGTTGTTAGGTATTTGGATGATCTGAAGCAAAATGTTGCCAGGACAGAAGTGACATGATTACTTCTGTGTGCTACTTCCACATCCAGTGCGGCTGTGCAGGTGCCGCAACCCTAACTTGAGACCACCCTGGATTGACCCACAGACTCCAGGAATAACCTGCCTCAAGCCACTTGCTACAGCTTCTATGAGCTCAAGAGCCTCTGCAGAGCACTGCTGCCACCTTGTGGACAAATGAGAGACAACAAGGAAATATCAGGACTGGCAAGGCACCATAAATAAATAGTCCCTAAGAACTAAATGATAGAATGATTTCAATATGAATCCAAGGCAGACTTTTCAACATCACAATAATCGAAGTTTACACACCAAGCACCAATGCTGAGGAGACTGAAACTGACCAGTTCTATGAAGACTTACAACACCTTTTAGAACTGACACCAGTGAAAGATGTTATCACAGTATAGGGGATTGGAATGCTAAAGTAGGGAGTCAAGAGATAAAAGGAACAACAGGTAAGTTTGCCCTTGGAGTTCAAAACGAAGCAGGGCAAAGGCTGATATGCGTTTTGTCAAGAGAACAAGCTGGTCATCCCAAACACTCTTTTCCAACAACACAAGAGGCGGCTCTACACATGGAAATCACCAGATGGGCAATATCGAAATCAGATTGATTATATTCTCTGCAGCCTAAGTTGGAGAAGCTCTATACAGTCAGCAAAAACAAGACCTGGAGCTGATTGTGGCTCTGATCATCAGCTTCTTATAGCAAAACTCAACCTTAAACTGAAGAGAGTAGGGAAAACCACTGGGCTACTCAGGTATAATCTAAACCAAATCCCTTATGAATACACAGTGGAAGTGAAGTACAGATTTAAGGAGCTAGATTTTGTAGACAGAGTGTCTGAAGAACTTTGGATAAAGGCTCATAAGGAGGCAGCAACAAAAACCATCCCAAAGAAAAGGAAATGCAAGAAAGCAAAGTGGCTGTCCAATAAGGCCTTACAAATAGCAGAGAAGGGAAACAAAATGCAAGGGAGA